TATATATATATATTTTTTTTTTTTTGGTATCAGGAATTGAACTTGGGACCTTGTGCTTGTGAGACAGCCAGTGGAACCACTGAGCTAATCCCCTGCCCAAAAGAATATATTTTTAATTGCTAATGTATCTGTCAACCTATTTCCTAATACTACTGTACTTTTTTGCATAAAACATTTAAATTATTAACAAAGTATCTTGCACTCTATATAATTTTGAACAATTTCTTGCTATTTCACAATATCTATTATAAATTTTAGTCCTTATACTTTAAGTTTCTCACATCAGAGAAACAATATGATATTTACACGTGTGTTAAATTTATTTCACTTAAGAGTATGGTTCCAAGGTGCATCCATTTACCTAGAAATGTCTTATGTTTATTCTTTTAATGACTGAATAGTACTCCATTATATTAAAAAAAAATCCACATTTTTTTTTATCCATTCATTGATGGGTGGACATTTGAATTATTTCCAAGATTTAGCTATTACAAATTGTGCCACTATAAACATGGGTGTGCATATATCTCTGTGGTATGATGCTTTTAATTCTTTTGGGAAGATACCTAAAAGGGGAATAGCTGGGTCAAATGGGACTCTAATCCTAATTTTTTGAGGAATCTCCACACTGATTTCCACAGTGGTTGCACCAGTCTGCACTCCTACCAACAGTGGAGAAGGGGTTCTTTTCCCCTACAGCCCCACCAGTATTTGTTGTTGGTTGACTTCTTGATAACAGCCACGTTCTTTAATGAGGTGGAATCTTGGCGTTTTAGTTTGCATCTCTTGAATGACTAGTGATGTTGAACATTTTTTCATATGCTTATTTGCCATTTCTACTTCTTCATCTGAGAAGTGTGTATTCATCTCAGGTGCCCATTTTTGGATTGTGCCTTTAAATGTCTGATTTTCTTCAGTTTTTTATATGTTCTTGATATTAGTCTTTTGTCTGAAGAACCACTGGCTAAAACTTTTCCCTACTCTGTCGGTTGTCTTTTCACTGTTGACGGTTTCTTTTGCTGTGCCAAAGCTTTTTAATAAGATGAGATCCTAGTTGTTGATTTTTTGTAGTATTTCCCATGTGGTCAGGGTTTTGTTCATAAAGTCTTTACCTACACCTATGTCTTCAAGAGTTCTACCTATTCTCTCTTCCAGCAGATATAGTGTTTCTGTTTTAATATTTAGATCTTTGATCCATTTTGATTTTAGTTTAGTGCATGGTGAAAGATGTGGGTGTAGTTTTCATCTTTAGCATGTGGAAAGCCAGTTTTTCCAGCACCATTTATGAAAGAGGCTATCTTTTTTCCGGTAAATGTGTTTTGCCCTTTTGTCAAAGATAGAGTGGCTGAGTTTGTTTGGGGTTGTTTCTGCATCTTCTAATCTGTCTCATTGATCTTCAGGTCTGTTTCTTTGCCAGTACCATGCTGTTTTTATCACAGCAGCTCTATAGTATAATTTCAAGTCAGGGATTATGATGCCCCCCACCTTGCCTTTGTTGCCCAGTACTGATTTTGCTATTCTAGGGTTCTTCTAGTTCTAAATGAATTTTAGGAATGTTTTCTCTAGATCTGTGAGACATACTATTGGTACTTTGATCAGGATTGCCTTAAAACTGTATAACAATTTTGGGAGTATGGCCATTTTCACTATAGTCGTTCTTCCTACCCAGGAACAAGGGATGTCTTTTCATCTGATATTCTCTTCAATCTCCTTATTCAGAGAACTGCAGTTTTCAATGTAAAGATCTTTTACTTCATTACCTGTTTTTATAATAATGGAAATGTTAAAAATTTCTCAATTTTTTAACTTTCATTGATTTGGTTTTATTTTAGATATTGTTTCTTTATTGTATATGTTAATGCTTGCTTATGGTTTGTGCAGTTATATTCACTAAAAGGACTCATCTTTATCATTCTTAAAATATGTTCAGTGTAACTTTCAAACCATTCCATTAAAATGGGTGAATGCATTGCCAAAGACAAGATTAAGGCCCATGGGGACACTTTCATCCTTACTTTTTTGTTTAAATGTGTGAAGGAATCTATAATCTATAATTTATAATTTCAATTCCGAAATCCTTTCTTTTCAGTGTAGTCAGCACTTTCGTCCATCCAGGAAAATCACTATCTGAATGTCATATTTTTCCATCAAAATACTTGACTTTCCAAGTTGCCCATAACTGTGATTATCAAAGGGCAGGATCAGACAGTGACATTGTTTGGAGTAGCCTTCCTTGGAAGCTTTCAGTATTCAACGAAGCTATTCGCTGACAGCAGCTCAGAATGTGTGGTCTTTGGAGCTGCTTAGGAGATGTTATCCCTTGTACATTTGCCATGAGCACATCCACTGTAGTTAAATCTATAAGCAGGTATTCGGTTAATGTTCAGATTAGATCTTTAATTAAGCTTTCATCCCCTCTAGCACAGACCACATTGTCAAACATGGAAGCGCTAGGAGAAACCAAACTCATTCCGTAGGGTTGTATCTTTAGTATTTTTTGAAGAAACTGACAAACAAAACTCTCATAGGGATTTCATATAGGCATGCTGAACCCAGTTGTAAATTTAGAAGTCTTACTTAATTTGATTTCAAACTCTATGACTTAAGGCAATGAAAATGTGTAGATGATTCAGATCAAGTTAATCAATTGAATTTTGCTTTAGATATTTAACATCATATAAAAACGCTTTCAGTTACCTACAGAGCTAAATGGTAAATGAGTAAAAATGTAATTTTCTTTATATGGTTGACAGATGGATATGTGCAAGGATAAGGTATTAACACAAAGAAACGCTGAATGTACAACAGAACTGGTGTCCAGATGACATTACATTTGTTTTTGCAGGATCATTTATTTATTTTGAGGCACATCAGTCACCCGGAGTGGCCAAGCTTGCAAGTCCTGTCCTTACAAAATTGCTCACTGCGTCTTCACCATGTCAGGTAATTAACTCTTTTCGAATTTCATTGGCCATTCTGCAGTTATAAACCACTGGGTGTGGATTACTCTGCTAGTGAATGCCTGCCGTGGTTTAGTATCATTTCCATGATGAGCTAAGAGATTTATATGAGCTTTTTCAGCACAAAATGCCGTGTCTTTCCCAAAGACCATTCACAACACATAGCTTGCCCCATTCTTTGTGGGGGTCCATTAGAGAAGCTTTCAGTTATTTTATATTCTTTTCACATGAAGTTTGCAGCAATGACATGGGTTTTCCAAAATTACTTGCTATCTTGCCAAAAAAATCAGCTAAATAAGTGCTTGTTGAAAGAAGGAAGACTGACAAAAAGATAAATATATATAGAAAAAATATTTTTAGGGTAATTACCCTCACAAATTTTATTTTTCAGTTAGCTCTCAGATGCCAGATAAACCCACACCAGACAGGAAAATATTCACTTCAACTGCACAATAGAGAAGAAAGCAAAATTTGGAGCCAGCATGGATTCAAATCACTGTTTTGCCATTTTTTAATGGCTATGCTCACAAATTGTGTATTCTTCTGAGACTCTGGAGCATAAGCATTACTGTAGCACCTTCACATGGTTGTGAAGGTTAAAATGTGATTAATCAAAGCACCTGACAAAAAATTGGGCACATAGTAGGTATTTACAAAACAAAATTCTTTCACTTCCCATAAAACTAACACCTATGTTGACTATTTTTGTTCAGCTACCCTTGTTTTCAGTTCTTTTTTTCAGTTCTTGTTTTCATTTCTTTTCCAACATACCTTCAAGTCTTAGGTTCTCCCTTGATTTATTTTTGTCTTATCAGAAAATAATGAAGAAATCAATACTGCAGCACATGCAATTCATTGCCTATAAATGTAGGGTTATAGCACTTTATTCAGACATTCCTGATGATAAATTGCTTATCATTTGGGAGTAAAGCCTCATTATACTTTTAGCTTAGTATAAGTCTGAATGGGAGAGCCCAAAGCTCTGAATATATTGTCTTCTTTTTTTTCCTTTTTCTATTTCCTGGTAGTTCTTCGTGAGAATGAAGATTAAAACAACTGCCTGTCTCCATTTCTACCTTAACTGAATGCCCTTTACCTGTTATCACCTTTCCTTTATTTTAATTAAGTACTGTGTGATAGAAAGATATAGATTTTTTAAAGAGAACCCCAGAGGCACTTATTTGGACTTTGAAAAATGCTTTACAAGCTAACTTAGCTTTAATTCAAGGTCATACACTGAGTTATATGCAGAAATGACACTGACTACAAAGGAATAAAATGTGTTAATTCGGTCTGTTTTATATATATTTGGAAACAAAGCTTATTAGAAATTCCAATAACTCACTGAGCATTAATGAAAAATAATATATATATATATGTATTTCTTTTTGAGGATCTACATTTACCATCATTCTGTGTTTGCTAGTTGCCATTAATTTGTGATCACTAGGATTGAGTTTCAATTTATCATCGTTTCTATGTAAAGACACCACTGTATTTTTGATTAAGTGTACAGTTATTTAGAGACATCTAAGTGAAAAAAATTTTATGGACAATTTAGACACTTGATAATTTACTTGCAAACCAGTGCGTCTGTCTTCAAAGACTTTGGATACTGAGGTAATGGTTTCCCTTGTTTCATGAAAGCTGAGGGCGCTTTGAGGAGCTACTACTTGTTGCCTGCTGAAACAAATATTTGCTTTTCTTTTTTCTCTGTATCCACTTGAGTTTTAGTAATATGTGAGTTGGAGGGAATATTTCAATTATTGTATAATACTCTCCAGTTTGGTAAGCAGTAGCAGACTGTTAGAGGGGGTTATTTTTATTCTGAGTTGCACATAGCTAATAAGCTCTCTCACAGACTTTTTCTCAGAGTATAACATGGCCTGTGTATAAGTTTGAGGTAATGTGCAATACTTTGTGTCATTTAAATTACACAATAAGCACAGATACCAAATCGCTATGGTCTTGAGTGCGTGGAGAATCCAGCAGATCATACCAGCTAGAGCGTGGTGATGGTAGTTGTTTTCATGGAACACATGTCCTGCATTATAAAATCATAAAGAAGAACAGTGAGATAACTCAAGTTGAATACCTTGATACAATTGAAGCCTTCATTTTATGAAATTATGTGATTTTTTCCCTTCCACAATCATATCAGCCTAATACAGTTAAGAAAATTTTTTGAAAGGACTTTAAAGGAACATGAGCTTTCTTCTGAGTCACCTCTCCTTACAGTACCATGTTTGGACCATTTTGCATGAATTACCTTGTACTTTATCACTAACACATGGTATCAACATGCAAATTGTCCTTCCAGTAATCATTGCTCAAGATAGGGACTTTAAAAGCTTCAAAAGTAACTTTATCGACTGGTGGAAACTTGGCCTTTTTCTTTGAAATAAGAGATAGGATAAGTCAAACACACGGGAGCCAGAAGCTACTCTTTTTTTATTGAGGTTTAGAGGCAGTTACTGTTTATAGTTAATTAGGAAATATAAAATGCAACAGGGATTAATATATTAATATTTCTGAGTCTTTACATTTTAGTTACTGTACCACCAAAACTGTAGCATTTTACTTTTAGCATCTTGCAGTTAAAAACAGGAAAATTTATAATATGAAATAAAATTTAGCTTTCATTATTATTTTGTAAGTTTGTTTCTCATTTATTTTTAATTCTGTGAATTATTTTCCAGTTATTTTCATATTCCTTCAATTAAAAATGATTCACAAACTTCAAAAAATGTGAATGAGGAAATTGGGACAAAGATAGATGAAGTGGGAAGTGGGTTGGTTCTTAAGGTAGTTCATTAGGACCAGGCTATACACTGAGTCTGTTTTCTGGTAGTCAATAAAGGGAGAAAGAGTCATAGTTCTAACTCAAGGAAGTGAAAAGAAAAATAGTTCTTTCAATACTTCTCTTCTGAGTTCTCAGAATGACAGCAATGTAAGCATTCTACATCTGGTTCACCATACATTTGTTCCTCCCGTACTCTGCTAGTCACAGTCTCAATGCCAGCTGTATAACAGGGAATGCATAACTTCCCTGGCAGAGTGTAGAGGGCAATGAGTAACACTGACATCAGTTTGATGGAAGATGCTATGAGGGTAGGTATGATGTATTCATAGTTGTAAAACTTTCTTGAATGGTTTTGAAAGGCCATGTCTCACCATTTGCCCAAAGTAAGGTGATGAACTCATATCAAAGAGCATGTTTGCTTGTAACAGTGCCCACATGTCCTGTCCCCTAGTTCAATTGTTGAATCCAGGGATAGATGTCAGATTGTCTGATGGATTCTAGAGGAATCTACAGTCTGGAAAGAAAAGGTTGAGCAAGTATTATTTCCATTGTGCATGATCAGATAGTGTGGAATTTAATTATTTCAATGAGTAAAACATTGCCTTATTGACAATGCAAAAGTTCTACTTAAGCTTGTCCAAGGAAAGAATGCTCAGGCTAAAACATAATGACTAGAAGCCATAAAAAGCACTATAGCAACATGGTATTGATAGGGTGTGTGTGTGTGTGTGTGTGTGTGTGTGTGTGTACGAGAGAGAAAGAGAGAGAGACAGGGAAATTTTAGGAGCCATGGTTGTTTTAAGTTTGTTTGCTTTGCTGTGCTTAATTTTTAAACTCTTTTATTTGTTACTTTATATCTTTTTATTCTAGCTCTTGATATATCACATATAGCCCAAACCATTCCACAGAAAACAGAGTCCAATGTGAAGCAGGAAATCTAAATTTTGTTGGCCAGCTGTCGTCACTAAAGCAACGCACCCGAGATAATCAAGTTACAAAGAGAAAAGGTTTATTTTGGCTCAGTTTTGGAGATTTCAGCCGTAGTTGGTGGGTCCTGTGCTTTATCGCAGCAGGACCATGTAGTGAAGCTATTTACCTCAGAATGAAGTGAAAAAGAGAGGAGAAAGATCCTTAAACCTCCTTCAAGGCTGTGCCCTCAGTGACTGGAAGGCTTCCGCGAGGTTCCATTCTTAGAGTTCCTATCACCTCCTAATTGTGCCAGATCAGGGAATAAGCCTTCAACACATGCATGGGTTGGGCAAGATCCAGACATGGACAGAGGTAGCTAAGGGTCGGCGGCACAGCTGAGTGAGGGCATGAAGATCTGACCAAGGTGGGGAAGCAGTAGGCACCAAGGCTACAGGAGAGATGAGGACAGAAGCAGACTATTGGGAAAGGAGAGTTTTGATCAGTGACAGATCAAAATTGAATGAAGAAGGAAACAGCCATAAAGAAGTCACTTTGAACTTCTAAACGATGGCCCGGGATGACCTCAGGGTTGTGTATCAGCTGATTACTCCTTTGTGGGCGGGGCTGGCCCTCCCCAGAACATCACAGCGCACTGTAAGGACCAAAGGGCGGAGGGCGCTGAGGTCCCGTTACCCTCTTCACCTTGTTCACTCAGCCACAGCCAGCGACAGGTCTAGATCATGGGCGAGGGAGGGTCTGTGCTTTTGGAGTGAAATGAGGGATTCGATATGGATGGCTTTACATACAAATACAAGATCAGAGTACAATTAGAGTACCATGATGTGACCTTCAAGTTTCGCTCCAGGTTGTGACTAAGCACCTGCCTTGTTGAGCGCTTTTTAACCTCATGAACTTCCCTTAAATGCAGTGATACAGGACTTGAATACTCACATTACACATAAATTGTGCCTTATTAAAAACCCAAGATAAATCAAGTCAGGCTTTTTCTATTTACATTGTATTTAACTACTTTTCAGTAAATCAAGAAAGCTGTTTCTTTTAAAATGGTAAGTAATGAGTTTTGGAATTTAACTTTCATGCTATGTGATTGTTTAATACAAAGTTCTGTTATGGTGGAAAATGTCAGTATATATTATGTTCAATATGGTAACTACTAGGTATACATAAATGTTGAGCATTTAGGATGAGGTGAATAGAACTGAGAAATTGAATTTTTAATTTTATTTCGTTTTAATTAACTTACATTTAAATAGCTATAATTTTCATACTTTTATCATTATACTTATTATAATTAACTGTCCCCTTTCTTTTTTTCTGGTCTTCCTTCTCCCCTTACAAAGGACACCTAATGCCTTTTGCATTTTTCGACGTTGATCAGGTTCATTGTCTGTCTTTCTGTCTCTCTCATTCTCTCTCTCTCTCTCATTCTGTCTCTCTCTCTGTCTCTCTCAGGGATTGAGCCCACAACCTTCACACTGGGCTATATCACCAGGTCTTTTTAAATTTATTTTTTATTTTTAAGACTTTTACTTTTGCACTGATACCAATAGTCCATTCATTCTTTATTTTTTCTAAAACATATTAACTGAATACTTAGTAAATACAAATTACAGTAGTAGGTTCTGCAAGGAATTTAAAGATATCTTACACTTTTGAAATTATGACTTATACCACACTGAGAGGCACGGAGTTTGAAAGTGTGATAGCCACTTAAATAGAATTGCAGCTGTATTAATGTTTGTTCAATTAATGTTTGTTTGTTTCACCTTAACTACATTAAATTTTAAAAGACTAGGGAAGCTTTATTGGTCTATAATAAACTGAAGAATTTAAGTTTCTACAAGGCAAATTTTGTTCTCTTAAAAGAGTAAATTAAATATGAGTTCTAAGTTCTTATCCTATTGAATATGGATCCTTTCGGCATTTACACCTAGTACACTATTAACTCCACACTGGTGAGGTACTTGAGTGACAGTTTGACAGTTTGAAATTCTGATGGGACATGCACAACTCTTGTACAACTAGGTTTAAAGCTCTCTTTTGCATATTTACAAGCTGGGAACACATTGAAACTTATAGCAGGGATCTAAAATTTAATTGGAGTTGGGGAATATGAATTCTTTCCTTCTATAGTATTTAATGAAATGCTTCCATTTGACTTTACTTTTCTAATTTACCTGTCAAGGATTGAATTTAAGCGAGCATTATTTTGAAATCTAGAATGAAATAGAAAATCAGATGGAATTCTTTGATTAGCTGGTAGAAATTAAGTAGAAGTTGAAAAAACTGTATATCAAATTGCAACATAAATGTTTGTTTTAAACTGAAAAATAATACAATTTAAAGAATATTTGAAATGTCTTTTTCAACTTTCATCACTGAAATTGGTCCCAACAGTGAAATGAATGGGTTGTCTAATACACTCTTTGTCCATGTGACAGGCTAGAAACACAATGGCAAAGGAAAAAGCAAACAAAATTTACAATATAATAAAACTTAAGAAGAGTCACTTTGGATCCAATGATAAGGATTCCATTTATGAGGGGCTTTGTCTTTGAATGTTTGATTTTCCTTTAAAACATACAATCTTTGAACTCTGACAATGAAAAGTAAAATATTGACTGTATCATGTATGAACTTGTTTGTGAAGTCTTTCCAGTAGATTTTATAGAGTAAATCAACCTTTGAGGGAATTAATTTTTGCCTTGTGTATTACCATATATCTGGTAAATACTACAGTAAACATTAGAATAAATGAGTGTTAAATTCATGTTAGAGCTATTCCTGCCAGCAACTAAGATAATCCTATGTTTTTCATTATGTGATTTAGCCATCAAAGCTTTAGATCATGTTATTGATGATGAACAGAAAGTGAAATAACCAAGGTTCTCTAGATTAACAGACTTCTTCCTTTTTTTTTTTTTTTTTTTTGGTATCGAGGAATGAACTCGGGACCTTGTGCTTACAAGGCAGGTGCCGGAACCACTGAGCTAAATCCCTGGCCCAACAAAGACTTATTCCTTACGTGGCTTAAATTATTGTTGATGAGTATCCCACATGCTTCCAAGCTCTTTGATCATGTTACAACAGAAAGTGAATTAATGAAAATTGTTCAGTGCAATTTTGCTTTATCTGAGAATTGACTTTGTAACTTTGAATTATAATGTATACTTTCCAGATTTATAAGATGCAAGAAAGAAAGATCCTAGGAAATTTCCTTGGAAACAGAATAGTGTTATTCATGTCCTTGTGGCAAAATACCAGTCTACAAACTTATCTTGGTAGTATGGTAGGGTCCTATTCATATAGCCGTCTCTCCAGCATGTGATAAAAATAACAGTTTTTGTAGCTGCCTGAAGCCTTTTCCTAAGGGAGAAATATAAACAATAGCAAAAGAAGTGCTTTTAGGGGTGCGTGCTTCGAGGAAGGGGAACTGAGAAAATATTTATCACCAAAATATTTGGAATATTTCTGATTATAGAAAGACTGCAAGAGATATGTAAATGGAATATTTGTATCATTAAAACCCTTTTGCACCAGGTGCAGTTTTGGTATCATTTGTCTGGGCGCTCAGTCCTCTCAGTATTTACAAGAACACTACATGGAAATTTGCAAAAGCAAAGTGAAATCGTTGGACTCTCTGAAGCTCAGTGGACCCAGGCAAAAATCAGTCTGTATACAAAAGCTGAAGAATCCAGTCTGCCTTTTCAGGTAAGTACTTAAGAAATTAATGCAACTCAGCAGAAGATATTTAATGCTAATCCTTTTAGACAACAAAATATATACTGTACCATGAAATTGATATTAATGAAGCAAACACATTCATGATCATAGGTGAATAGAGAGGTTATTTTGTCTCAGGTGCTCAGGACTTGTGTGTGAAGAGTAGGAAAAGTGAGAAAAGCACTAAGTAGGATGGCAGGGAGAATAACACTTTTTTTTTTTTTTGAGAGTAGCACTTTGAACTTTTTTTTTCTTTCTAAGTGGAGATGATGGATTATATGATGCAGTGAAAAACACCTGACTTGGGCCGTAGTTAGATTTTAATCCCATTGCCTTATTTTTCTACTCCTCTTTAACACCGACAGTTTCTTTTATCAACCTCTGATGTGATTGTCCTGGTTGACACTGTAATGCAAGAAGGCAACTGAAGCTTATTAATAGGGCGCCCCACTTTATGCCTTCCTCTCACAACTACCAGATGATGCTTGGAAAGAGCCATTTTAGAGACAACATTGGATGGGGAATATACAGGAAAACATACTACTTTTAGAATCAGGGGCTCTGAGTGCCCACGTGTATATATCTCGCTGGTCCAAGTGACTGCTCAGATACTGTGTTTGAGCTTCTACTCCTAATCGATCAAAATCACAGTGGTTATAAAAGCAATACTGAAGGGGAGGTTGGGGATTAAAGAGAATGTAGGTAAAATGGTGGCATCCACATGGGCTCTGGAGCCTGGGGGTCAAGCCCAACAGGGAGGTTGCTTCAATCTTCGATCTACCTCTTCCTCTGTCGATGGGGGGCAGGAACATAATCGTTGGCCCTTGAGTCTCTGGTAAGTAATATACCTCATTGATCCTTCAGTTTTTAAACTGTTGAGATCGATGTAGAAGTCAAACAGATTAAACAATATTTTGGAACAGATGCCTTGATAATCTGTGGTCATGTATTTGAAGTAATACTTGACCTCAGAATAAACAGATTTACCCAGAGAACATCTCATTCTGCTAGCGAAATATAGGAAAATGGAAATCTCACTTAATAAGATTAACCCATTGATGAGGTTAGTGTCCCACAATCCAGTCACCATCTCAGAGCCCCACTTATGAACACATGGGCCTTTGAGGGGTCATATTTTGATCTAAACCAATGGTGGCAAACCTATGGCATGCACGCTGCAGCAGGCTGTAATCACTGAAAGATCTAAAAGACTGGTTCACTATCACTGATCTAAACCGTAATAGTCCTACTGGGAGTTGGCTATAGTACATGTTTGTTTGAGAAACTACAGATGAAAAAAAGAAAAAGTTGCTCACATTTTACCACCAAAATTTACCATTATAGGGGTATAATCTTGAGTCAGCAGCTTAGAAAATTTGATTTGCAAAACAATAAGCTTTTGGCAATTGAATTGAGATGCAAAACCCAAAATTCACTGAATCAATGTAGTCTTCAAGCACACCTCACTTAGTTTATTTAGTGGTGGATTTGATTATGCATGTGTTGTCCCCCACTTCCCTAAGGATATCCTGTAATAAATACTACCAGTGTTATATGACATTGTCAACTGTGAACTACACAAATCTCAAAACCTTTGGCCCAGAGACTTTAGATCAGGGATCATGGGCTTATATTAACATTCTTGTGCATATCAGTTCTCAGTTCATATTTTATACGCATGTATACATTTTTTTTTGGTACTGGGGATCAAACTCGGGTCCTTGTGCTTGCGAGGCAAGCAGCAGAACCACTGAGCTAAATCTCCGGCCCTACGCATTTAATAGATATATACACATGACACTATTAAATACATCAATATGACATATTTGTTAAATATTTCAAACTAGGAGTACATACAGAAACAAATATAAATGTATTCCCATCAGAATTAGCTGTCAACATTTTATTTGCATATAATATCAGTGTTTAGTTGCTGATCAAGATGAGCTTTTGTATTCTTTGTTTCTCTTCCCATCCCTTTTCTAGTTCTCTGCAGGACAAATTTTGACACTATATTGGTTTCAATATGATTTTTCTAAGTGTGTTTTGAAAAAAGCATAAAAATATGCGTGAGGATGCTAGCTAAGTGCAGTTCTACATCTTTTTTATTAACAAATGTAAAAGATACTATACTTACAAATATTACATCTAGGGTTTAAGTATTCAAATATCTATCTAAAGAAGATTTTTTTTAGAAGCAGGGTAGGATTTTAGTACTTTGAGTTTAGTGAGTTGCATCATTTAAGGGTGACCTGAGGCACTGCTTAGCCTCAGTTCAATATAACTAAGCTCTGAACATATTTATATAGTGTAATCCAGTCCAATCCAAATATTAGAAGTAGGAAAGGCATTGGACTATGTGACCTCTTTGTTCTCTTTTAGCCATGAAATTTGGATTCAGCATGGTCCTTTTAATGCCAATTTTAGACCATATCACAGTACAAATTGCTTTGAGTTTTTCATGAAATAAGCATCCCTAGTTGGTAGGATGTTCACTCTTCCTGCTGGCAAAGGATTTGGCTTACTGTTTATTCTCTAAAATCATTACCATTTCCAGATTCATTCTGTTACTTAGGTGGGTTTCACTGGAAGAATTTCAGCCAAATAGTTAATAATATTCTTTCCAATCTGTTTCAGCTTGGTCTGTTCATTTGTTATATTCAGCTTTTCACACAAATATGTTCAGTTTTTAATTTCTCTTTTCCCTAGCTGCTCTCATATCAAAAGGGATATGTTTTCTTAATACTGTCCATTGATTTCAAGTTGTTCTACTTTCTGCAAGTTCCTGTTTAAACGTAAAAGTTTTATATTTCATATTTCACCTTGAAATGACTCCTGTGAAATTTTCCAGAATGATTGACAAGAAGATGTTCATTCCTTAGCAGAGTCAGTGATATAAATCAATAACAATTTCCTGGCATTATTTGAAGATTTAGTGAAAGATGAGATTTGTAATGCAAAAGTAAAAGCTGATCTAGTCTATGCAAAGTTGCCATATCCTCTGTTTTCTTAATCTAGGGCTTTGTTAAATTTTGTTTTGGGAGGTAGCTCTGTTATATAGTGCTTGTTGAAGACGAGTTATTTTTTACTTCATTATGGTGATACAATAGAGCATAATTAGCATAATCTTTAATGGCTCAAGTTACGTGTTTTTCTTATTATACATTATGGTTTACATTTAACCTTTCCCCTGAAAAGTCTCATGCATTCAGAGGTGGGGCTTTTAGAAAATGATTGTATCATCATCTGTATCATTAGTGGGTTAATCTCCTGATGAATCCTTACCTGAATGTGCTGGTAGGAGGTGGATCCTGGTCGGAAAGGTGGGTTGCTGGAGTATATTTCCCTCCCTGGCTCTTTCCTTTGTTCTATGCTTCCTGGTTGCCATGGTTCAACCCCTTTGGTCCAGTATGTCCCTCTTCCTTTCCTTCCTGTTTCTGCCTTGAAGCCAGCTGGCCATGGAGCAAAATTGTGAAGTTGTAGGTGTCAGGTATTTTCTCCCAGTGATGGGAAAGTGACTGAGACACTCGATAAGTGATTTGCAGCTATTTCTATCTTCTAAACTTGTTTCTTTCACTTGAAAATGATGATGAACATAGTACCATCTTCACAATATTAAAAGAAGTAAACCAGCCTTACATGTAGTGAGTGCCGAATAAAACTTGCTTTGACATCACCACCGTTCTTCAGAAACTTCCCTATTCCAATTTCTCCTTCTTCTCATATTCTTCTTTTTTCTTAGATTCATGTTGATTATTCTTGTTTTATGACAAGTAACTAAATACGGCAGTTGAGTGTTTTTCTGGAAAAGCGCCTCCATTTTGCCGATGTAGAAAGTAATCTCTTGATTGTGAGCAACATTTATGAGTTGTTTTTGAAAGCAAGAGATTGGTTCCCTCTTTCAGAGAATAAATGAATGAAATAAAATCATCAGGATCATGACGAATTGGTTAAGAAAGGAGGACAGGGCCGGGGATTTAGCGCAGTGGTTTCGCTGCCTGCTGCGCAAGCGCAAGGACCCGAGTTCAATCCCTGGTACCAAAAAAAAAAAAAAAAAAAAAAAAGGAAAAAGAAAGGAAAGACATATACACTTAATTTAAAATTTTAATTATCAAATGTCATTCAGAGTCTTATGAAAGGAAGGTTTTACTTTTCCTCCATGAATGATTAGAACAGCTCTTCTACGCAACTTCTTTCTTTCTTATTATTTATTGACACTAGTTGCCAAGGGCCTTTGAGTACTGCTCAGAGATAGGTATGTTAAAACAAAAAATAGGAGTAGCTACGGTGATACTGAATTATCAATTAATTATTTACAATTATACCTTTTAAAGAGGAAATAGGATTTTTTCTTTTTATGCCATTTATACCAAAGATTTCAGTTTTTGAATTTGTGCAAGAAATTCATATATGTGACCTAGAAAAATTCAGAGAACAATGAAGAAAATTTTTTTTATTATGCTCTGTTATGGGCATTCCAAAAATAGAGCACTGGGCCTTAAAAGGTTAAATGGGAATGATTTTCATTATTGGTAGAATTACGACCTTTCATTATATGGTCTTGAATTTCATTATGTAGAAGTTAGCAACAAGGGGTGTAGATGAGCGACTATCATTTTTATTTGACTTCTGAAGTCCTGTTTACAATTATGTTTTAGGGTGCATAAGGGCCTGGTGCGGCCCACATTACAGAGATCCAGCTCATGGACTCCCTCCTCTTGGTCCCCACCCATGCCATTCCCAGGGCGTGGACCTCTCTAGAGAGCACGCACAGGGCTTCAAAACGCTCTTATCTCCAGCTTTTCTTGAGTAGCACAGATCTTCAGGTACAGTGGTCAAAATTTACCGATGTCCCGAGGCTGAAAAGCTCAGCGGCTGTGTGTGAATGGTCTTCTGTGCTGGGTCCTGTGAACAATGTCTACCAAGAAAAAACGGTTAAGCTTATCCAAAGTGAATTATGGTTACTTGTACTTAATGGTATTCAGCATCACATGTTTCTGAATTTCAATCTTGTGTATATTTCATGTAAACTCTTCTTTTAAATCTATGTTACTACGTATTTTCTGCCTCTTGTATAAAGGGCACATTTCTTAATTTGTTACAGTTCTGCAGAAATCATCTCTAGTCAGAATTGTACCAATCACTGATATTTTTACATTGCATTATAAGACATCAAAAATTACAACACCCCCCACCCCCAAACCAGCAGTCTCTCCTGACCACCTTCATCTTCTATCACAGCCAGTATCTTGAGTATTTAAAGGCACTGGTTTAGTTTTAGTTCCTTTTCATTCTCAATTAATTGAATATGTTTGTGCCAGATATATCTAGAAATCTAAACCACTGTGTATTTTCAATGTAAATAGTATCATACGATAAATTGCTTTTCCCAGTAACTTAATTTTTTTATGTAGAAATAAGTGTTGAAGTGCTTTCCATATTAGCAAGAGACAGACATTGTTTTTAATTGATATATTAATCCATGGCCTATGTTGCTATTTATTTATGGATTCACATTTGTTTCTAGTCATTTGGTATCAACAGTAAGTGAAAGTTCCTATACAAGTGTTCATATGTGTGTTTGTGAGAAAAATGGGCTTAATTCGTGTAGCCTGTGCTATTTCTATTTTTAGTAGATGTCACTCAGCTGTTCTCTACTTGGGCTGTGCCAACTCATTCAATGAGCCTTTCAATTTATTATCCAGTTATTTGGCTGTTCTCTTAGAATTAATACTCCTAAAACACCCAGAATTTTTTAAGCATACAGGGTACTTTCATAGCTCTTTGCTTTTAGTAGAATTGCTACCTCAGTTTCTTGAGTAAAAATCTTTGGCAGCAATTATAACCAAGGTTTAATATTACCTCTCGTTAATTTTTTTCCTCCAAACTCTCGGTCCCCATTCATGGGAGAAGTAATGGAGTGATTTTCTCTGATTTTTCTTGTATGTTATACTTATTTCTTCTATAGCACTTATGATATAGTTTAGTTGTTAGTATGTTATACTGGGCGAAGGGGAAAAGAATGATCTTTTCCTTGCCCATCATGAGGTTCATGGCTGATACTTCTATAACAAAAGACAGGTTACAAAAGAAAAAATATAAAAACTTATTAAGTTTTACTTGGGATGCACCTTCAAAAATAAATTCCTAAAGACCCAGGGAAAATTGTATTTTAATGCTTCTATTATAGAAGAAAGGTTTGACAAAAATGTATGATACAATGGTAATGAGTTGGAGGAAATTTAGCAAGGCCCATTTCTTCAGTCTCTCTTTGCCTCTCTGTAGGATTCCTTTCTTTCAGGTATGGGGCTGACATTTTTCACATGGAAGTACTGTAATGTAACCTACTTTCAGGAAAGGTGGATGAGAGAATCCCTTAAGGGCCACTCTCATACAGAAAAGGCAAAGTCAAAGTGACCTCCACATTTAACCCATTTCTGAGTAGTGTGTTCTGAGCCATGACACAAATATCACACAACTAAATTGTGAGATCCTGGAGATCAGATTCCTGTGTGATAAGAGGAAGATGTACCTGCAATCCATGTCCAGGACTGCTAGTCCTTAAAGACTTCAGAAATTACCTTTGTTTCTCTTCCCTCCTTCCCTCCCTCCCTTCTTTCCTTCCTTCGTGGTGGAATAGCAACATAATAATGTGAGTGATTAACAGGAAAGAAACAAATTATATCAGTCATTATTCAGAGTGTTGGAATAAATTAAATAGATGCCTCACAGTGCTTTAACAGTTGAGTATGATTAACCACTCTATGTTTTTATTGGTTGTGTGCTTTACCACATTAAGTATGTTTCTGTATGTATATACATAATATACACATCTTTAAATATTCTGAATATGGAAATGAATCACTGCTTCCAGCAGACCCATTAGAAATGAATTCATATCTCAATTAAATTGGGTTGTAAACCACACTGTTGATTACCCTAAAGAGCTCATTTTAAATGTATATGATTCTTAATGGCTCCAGTGGGAAGAGAGGCCTTCATAAGTGATAAATGTTGCCACTCTTAATTGAAACAAGGTTACCCAAGATATCAAGGTTACATAAGATGCTGTCAATGCAGTTGTGACTTGATAAATTTGTAATCGGAACATTCTGGCCAAAACAGTTTTCTAAAATTGAAAGGGAATCCGGGACAGCTGCAAAGGAGTTCCTCTATACAAAGAAATATTTTTGTTGAAGGACATTTTAAGTCATTTTATCTTTCTGTAATTATAGCTAATTCTAGAAGCTACTGTTTTTTCATCGAATGCTGCCGTCGCCGTAGATGACATCGTTATGTCAAAGGAATGTGAAATTTCCCACAAGTCACTTTCAGGTACCAGCACAGAAAACAAAGGTAAGTTTTTTTTACTTGTGATTATTTGTGCTTTAAACATCAACTTAATTAGCTCTTCTTGATATCAACATACAGAATATATCAATGTCACCAATGCAGTTCTTAACTCTGATCTGGATTATATCATCTGCCTGTGACACTTAAAATATACTTTTTATGGCGCTAGGGATTGCATCCAGGGTGTTGTGCCAAGCTATATCCCCAACCCCCATTTTAGTTTTTGTTTTGAGATAATCTTGCTAAATCCCTAAATCGCTTGGGCTGGGCTTGAATTTGTGATCCTCCAGGCTCATCCTCTGGCTCATCCTCCCTTTGTGCTTGGATTTCAACTGTGCATCACCACACCTTGCTCACCTAGTCCTTTTTTATTTCTTATTTTGAGACAGAGTCTTGCTGCACTGGAATTTAGCACCCTCTTGTCTCAGCCTTCAGGAGTGGGATAATAAGTGTGCACCACTATGTCCAGCTTTTCCTTTATATTTTAAAGTAAAAATATGAAACAATCACATTCTAGATCTTAGGCACTCATTTATATGGAAAAGATTCTTCTTTTGTAGCTAAATTTTTCACACAGACTTTTTAAAGTATAAAAATTATGAAAGAATTATAGTTAATTTGCATGTTTTAAAGACCCTTTTATAAAGATTCACTATTCTACTAATTTATTTTTTGTTTCAAATGAGCTTGTAATGAAATTCATATTTCAAAATCATTCAGGAGTTAAAAAATAATTATATTTGGAAAAGTGATTTAAAGCCAGCCAAAAATTTGAAGGTTGACACTAACATTCTTTACTTACAGTTAAAACATATTTTTAAGTAGAAGATGGAATTTGTAAGTAATCTTAATGAAGGGCCAAAAAGATTGTAATAAAAATAGATTCAAATCAGTCAGGGTACTATATATTGTAATCTAATCGTTATTGAAATTCTGGGAGAACACTGATCAGGTGTACATCCTGCCTCTGGTCACTCTGAAACTTAACGGTAATTGATGTTTCTTTCTGAAATCTCTCCCTGCAGGTCTCAATTAATAAGTAGAAAGCATTAGAAATGTTACCTGAAAGGTATCAGACTTCACTTTTCCTAATCCCTATGCACAGAAACTGTTTGTTCTATGAAAATCAGGTATTCTGCATATCCTGCAGTTAGGTTTCCTTAAATAATACATTTAGTAAGAAAAATTGCATTCTTACAGGAGCTAAGTACACTAATTAGGATAGATGTAAAGAACTGGATTAAGGACTGGATTAAAGAATTGTGTAAAACTTAATTTATTTTAAAATTGTAATTGTACACATTTTGGGAGTACAGTGACATAATTTAATACCTATATACATTGTATTATAATTAAATCTGGGCAACACTTAATGTCCCTAAACCTTTAACATTTTTTTTTATCACAAATAATTGTACATATTTGTGGGGCACTGTGATGTTCTACTACATGTATACAGTGAATACTGATCAAATCAGGGAAATTAGCATTTCCATCTCATTATTATTTTGGCTTCGAAATTTCAAGCTCTTTTCTTCTAGTAATTCATTAAATATGTAAGTGTTGCTGTGACCTGTAGTGGACCCATTGTTCTGTAAAACACTAGCACTTACTACTTAATCTAACTGAGTTTGGTTCCTATTATCCAACCTCCCTCTAAATTCCCTGCCCCATTCCCTCCTCAGCCTATTAATCTCTAGTATATATTTTCATTGACTTTTTAAAACAGTAACATATGAGCCAGAGATTTAGCTCAGTGGTTCTGGTGCCTGCCTCGCAAGCGCAAGGTCCCGAGTTTGATCCCCAGTACAAAAAAGAAACAAACCCCAAAACAGTAACATATGAGAGAGAATGTCTGGGATTTGTCTGATTTGTTTCAGTTAACATAGTTACCTTTATTTCCACCCACTTTGCTGCAAATTCTATCACCTGTTTTTATGGCTGGATGATTTTCCATTGTGTAAATGTAGATTTTCTTTATTCATCTATCTGTTGGTGGGCATCTAGCTTAATTCCATATTTTAGCTTTCATAGTGACTTTAATTAAAGACCCCTTATTGAAAACATCTTGCACTCCATAGCTGGTGTAATTCTGTGTGCTAACATTGTGGTTCAGGATGTGTCATACATGCACACACGTGCAGAGATTAAGAAGTCTTTTTTATGCATGTGTGTGTGTGTGTGTGTGGTGTGGCTCTGATAGACCCTGATAAATGCAAACCGACAGACTTAATGATTCATGAATTTTCAAGGGTTAACAAGCATTATCTTTTTAAGTTTATTAAAACATTTCTCCTAATCAAAAACTTCTGCACTAAAATTGGAATTGTAGGCATTAAAATTGACATTAAAGAGATGCCGCTGGAGATTTAGAGCCAGAAAGATGTGATAGATACTGTCCCCCATCCATCATAAGGATGACAGCCAATAATAAAAGACCTGTAATAAAAGGTTAACAAGAGCAAAGCATTACACATTTAATTAAAGTTTCACATGATATAGGAGCCTTCAGAAATGAAGACCCAAAGACCTAGCGCATTGTCTGCATTTGTCCTTTGGTCCCATGAAAAATGGACAGCCACATAGAAATGTGATTGAACGAAAGAGTAGTCACGCAGGGGAAGGGAGACCAGTGAAGTCTGCCTGTCCAGGTTCTTCTTGGCCTCTTGGGGAGTGTTCCTCCCCTGCTGTGATGGGGTAGGATCTCTCTGGAGTGAGGCTCTTGGTGATGAAGAACTTTCAAAAATCAAATCAGAGCCAGGTGCGGTGGCACATGCCTGTAATCCCAGCACTAGAGAGGCTGAGGCGGGAGGATTGCTATGAGTTAGAGTCCAGCCTGGAATTCATAGCAAGACCCTGTCTAAAAAAACAAAGATTAAGTCAGAACTCAGTTATGTGTACCTCAGTCCAAATACCAAATCAGTGGGTTAGAGCATAAATCTAAATAGGCTAAAATTACATAAATGACTCCTGAAAGACTAAAGATTGTGTCTGTGGGATGCATGGCAAGAGATTTCCCCGACCCTGTACTTGAACTGAGGCTTTTAAAGGCCTTAACTGGCAGACAAATGGCTTCAACACTTCTGAGCCATGTTGGAGCAGTGGCCTTGTACATTTACATTTTAAGTGGCACACACAGCATGAAATAGCAAGTGGTACTCTAATTTGGCCTTTTGTCCAGAATCTTCACTTTCAGCATATTTAAAAACTAGTGTTGATGGAACCACAGTGTGTTCCCTTTATTTGTTGACAGGGGAGATAATGCTATCCTTTTGATCTCAATTTGAAGCTGGATTTGGGTTGTGTGAGGACATGGGGTTGTATTTTATCAAGCAAAGATCTGTGTTTTTACACCTGAGCACCCAGAGCGTGTGAAGCCAGTTGTGAATGAAAGCATTTATTCATCCTGCTACAATTTACGTGTACATATTTTCTTTCTAAATGTAAAGTGCATACTACTCAAGTGAGTACTGTTGAATGAACACAGTCAGAATTGAGACTTCTACACAATGGAAATCATGCACTAGTGAGCAAAAATTGAGTAGCCATAAACCAGTAGTAATGAACAAAAACACTTTAACTTTCAGAGTATCAAATTTGAAATAAATGCAAGCTTGAACCCCAAAGAACTGAACACAAATGTATTATGGCTGGTCACAGAAAGATGAGTACTACATGTTTACAATTATAGGAGGTATTTAAAATAGTCAAATTCAGAGTCAAAGATTGGAGGTTTCAGGGGAGGGGGAGCAGCACATGAAAAGCTTTTTTTTCCAAGCATGTGGTAATTTTTATTAAGAATTACCTTGGTTCTAAGAATTCCACCCTCAATTCTGTAATACTTTCCATTAAAAACAATTATACAAGAGCAAATACAAAAAACATTAAATTATGAAAGCAAACCAATTAAGGCTCCCTTTATGTATATTATATACACTCAGACAAGGCAAGATTTCCCGTAGCAGAAAAATAAAGTCAACTTTATAGCTTTTAAAGCAACACTACTTTACTATCAGACTATAAAACACTTAACTCTTTTAAGAAAACCAGAGTGGAAAAATGGAGCCATTTTTTTCCTCACAAAAGTGGTCCCAAAGCACAGGACTGCACAGATAGGAAGTTCCTGAGTCCAACGGTCTGGACAGGACAGCGTTGAGGAGAGACTGCTCCCTTCCGAGCTCCAGCCCATGATCCAGCCGATTAGACCTCAAGAGCCTCATGGCCCGCACCTCTGCTTGTTAGCACAGCCCCCCATTCACTATGTTTACAAGTCATCTTCTGGCTGGACTTGTAGTAGTAACCACAGATAACTCTGCAGATAGAAAGTTTCAGTCAAGTAAGATGAATCCACTCTAGAGATCTGCTGTACAATAGTGTACCTACATATAGGCACCAACAATTATATACTTAGAATTTGGTAGGAGGGTAGATCTCATATTGTATGCTTATCACAATAAAATAAAGTTATAAATAAAAAATTATGTTTAAATAATAAACATTCTTTTACTAAGTATTCTTTGATATTATAATAATTACTCTCATTCTAAACAATTCCCCTTCTAATACAATTTATGGTAGAAGACTAAATAATGCTAAAAAATGTTCTTTCAGTGACAGTGTCTTAGAAATAGTTCTATGGTCACAAGCACTCTCTATATTTTTAAACCTTAGAAAGTCTTCCTTTAATTTCCCCTTTTCCAGGGCAGCTCATCCATTTTCCTATGTTCTATGGAAATGATTATAAAGTTGTCTAAGCAAGCATCCCTGGAAATTAATAAAAAGGGGGCGAGTGGAGGTAGATGTTTTTATGAAAGCATTTAAATAACTATGCTGTTGAATGCAATGAAGAAAGGTGTGAAGGAAGGTTACAAAAGCATCACATTTTATTGATTCCCCATACCCAATGTGAAAGCCCAGGAAGTTTTCAGTCAAGATCTGGAATGTCATGGACATATTCCTGAGGTGTGCTGGAGCCCAGGGTTGGAGAGCCTCCTGCTTCATGG